CCGATTCCCCGTTCCTCGTTTTAAAGATAGCCATTTGTAATTAGTCTGACACGAGTTCCCATCTTTGTAGCCTACGAATTTTCTTGCCACTCTTCTAACATTTTTAAAGTCTAAAATTCACCGTTTCGCTATGTCCTTTATGTGCTTTGAATTTGTGTGTAAAAAGTCACTCGGAGAGAATTTATTTTTAGATTTTGAGAGTTTTATGGAAGAGGAGTCCGTTTATCTACTGAAAGAAAAAAAAATCCATGCTAACAAAATTGAAAAAGAGAAAAAGAAGATAGTAAAAAGATGGTGTTTTGGTTTAGTCGTAAGAAATTTTTGAAAAACTGGGATAATCTCAGCCTCAATAAGGATTCTTACCAAACAAAGAGTGTATTAGTAGAATGCTGGTGGTAAGGAAGACTAGAGCTGCTTTGGCTTTGATTTGCTGTGACAGTCCCGTAATTTCGCTATTGATAAAATTGAGAGAATACATTGTATTTGGTGGTGTAATTGTAAAAATGTGTTGCTCATTATTCCAAGGTAATTTTTCAGGGAATTTTTTCCATGATATTATTGGTAAATTACGACCGAGCTAGAAAGTGTATCAAATATAATTAATTTTCTACTATAAGATAACTATTTTTCTTAGACTAAACAGTAGTAAAATAGATATTAAAATCACAATAAAATTTAGAGTAAATTTAGAAGTAATTACTATAATAAAATGTGTTGCTTATTGTTTTATGATAATATTGTCGCGATGTTTTAAAAGATATTTCAGTGATATTCTTAGCAAATTTAAGTACCGCCATGGCTAGACGACGTATCAATACAGTATTGTAAGTTTCTAAGATAACGCACTTTCGTTTACTATTCAATTTTCATGCTTAAGAGGTTTTGTGTGAAAACAGGTAGAGTAAAGAAAAAATGAAGGGTAGGAGAATTAATGGGTCGCGTAGCAGCTCTCGTAAAGTATTACATGAATGGCTTGATACCCTTCTTGGAGGAAAATAGAACAAACAAGAAAAGCAATGCTCCTAGCCCCAAAACAATTACAGCTGCTAACAAGCAAAAGGATTAAAAGCTTACGAAAGCTGCTATATTTCTGAAATTAATGCCCCATATCGACCTTAGTACCAAGGTAATCCCTGTCAAGTTATTTTAGATCACTTCTGGCTGTTGTCGAGAAATAGCAAATTCTGTGACTCAGAGTTTGCTTTCGTGGACAGCGTGGCATTTTCATCTTCCACGAAGACATCCAGGCAACGTCCGTGGTAACATGTCCGAGAGAGAACGGGTACCATGTCTAAAACTAACCTAGTGAGAAGGATTACCTTGAGAATAAGGCTTGTGAGGGGGAATAACTCTCTTGGTAGAGTGAAAACCTTTATTGTAGAAATGTTTTGACTTTTGTAGTCACTTGCTGTTCTTGTGAAACGCACGAGGATGGATGTGCCAGACCCTCCACGTTAACATAAATAGGCCATTTCCGTGTTGTCTTTTATCTCTACTTTAAAATGAGGTTTCTTGCTAACCTTTCGAATTTAAATGAGTTTGATTAAGTCAAAACGGAGCGAGCAATAAAACGCATTGCCATGCCAATGGTTTAACACGAGGACTAGTGAAAAGATTAAAGGATAAACGGGAAATGGCTCATGGTATAGTCACTCGAACACGTCATGTTTAGGTTCAGACGACAAGGTTTCAGTCTAGAGTGGAACCCAAATTTAGTCGAACGATATGACGGGTAACATGGCAGGTCGGGCAAAGCCCTCTTTACCCCGAAGTCGAACAGTCAGTGTTTTGGAGAAAAGTCTCATTAATAATTAAAACATTTATTGTTAAAACTCTGGAATAAAGTTAGTGCCTTCCAACTACTTTTAACGTTGTCGGTTGTTCTTTGTTATTTGCAACAAACATTTCTTTGAGATCATGCAACCCTCGGACCTACCCATTGTACCTGCTAAGTACATCATGTGCCAAAAAAATAATCAGAAACCTTTACTCTGTGCGTTTGCTATACTGATGTTAGGTCTAAACGTGGACAAGGTAAGAGTGTTAACAAGTAGGACGTGGTAGGAACGCCCCGATACAAATGGACTGGTTCACTAATGGATAGTAAATCAAACTAAACTTGTTCATAGCACGAAGGGGTTAAATTTGAATTAGGGCTTTTTATGTATGCCAAATAATATAAAACCTCCAAGATCGTGAAAATAAAAAAAAACTATTCAAAAGAAAAAGAACAGCAAGGTATTTGTTTCATTTGGGTGTCAACTGACATATGGACTGTGTTTAAGTATACAAAGTTGACAAAGCAGC